TTCTCCAGATTAGAAGTCACAGCGACTACGGTTTTGGCATGTGTTGCTAATGTCTCCAGTAAGGAAGGCTAAGCAACTGGCGAATCTGAGCGGCATCAGACCCAGAAGTCCGCAAAGATTAACCTGGTCCAAATATATGGTTGTAGTCTGCTCCATACTCTAGTTATGTTCTGTTGAAGAGGTGACTCTGACACAGGGTTGGGAACGTTGGAAGGTGTTTATGAGGTGTCTGCCTCTGCGTCTCGAAAGGAGAAGCGAGAATGGAAGACGAAGATAATGGGTAGTTCATTATCAGTAATTACGAAGTGACCGCTGATTACTTTGCCTTACGATTTGGCGTTTCATTATCGGCCACCTATTGCTAATGTTCCGCATACAGACGTTGCCACTATTGGATAATAAGCATTCTTTTGGTTCCTTAATGGTAGTTTTTCCTGCTACCATTTTTGCAATTTTTAGTATTATTGTGAAGTTGCTATGGCATGGCAATTAACTTCTGTTGACTGAAGTCAGTTGAAACAGGAACACTTATCAGGAATGTTAAATTATTGACATATCAAAATATACATAGACCGGAAAATCTGCTCTTTTGCCAGCAGCCTTGAGCACATATAATAAATCAGACTAACTTTTTAATGAATCTGTCTATTATAGTTAGGATGATTCATCTGAGCTACGTCAAACAATTAATGCGAAATGCAGATTCTCTGTATAATTCAATCGCTATTTAACTTGTTGTACACTTCCATAATCATTTCTACTCGTGGTTATGGTCAGTGATGCTAAAGAACGTTTAGTACTGTAGCTACGAAACGGGTATTAGAACCGTATCATTGGCGGTTTATTGCTTTTTTCGTATTTCCAGTTTTGGTTAGAATATACACGTATAGGATTTAAAATGAGATTCTTTACTTTTAAACTATCGCAGACTTCATTTAGGCATATGTTCGGTGCCCGCAAATGCTGAAAACTGTTGTACTTTTTCTTTAATTGAATTCTTCGTGGATTTCGCATATTTTTAGAAAGCTTAGTTTAGTTTTGAGTCATAATGAAGAATGAAGAGGACAAAGCGGGGGACGAAGAAGTGGAAGAGGAGCTTAACGAAAGTGAACATTGTGGCCCTTCTTTGACGGACTATGTTCCGCATAAGAAGCGGAAAGGTTGTTTCACAGTGAAAGGTCTGATTGAACTTGACATTCGTTGTTATAGTTTTGGAGTTTGAAAAGACATATTTGCGCTACGTTCCTTCGGCCGAAGCGTACGAGAAATCTTTTATGCATCGAGATGTGATCACCCATGTGGCTACTACAAAGTATTTTTTAAGTTAGTGTTCATAAAAGTTTGGAGCCGGTAATGAAAGAATGATGTGAATCATGTTCAAGAAAAAATCAACTGTTTATCTGTCTTGACTAATGCTTTCGTATTCTAAGCAGTTCTTAGCAATGGCTTGGAAAGGAACTGCTTATAATATTTAATAAGGTATTTCATAATATATTACTATAAGAGTAGCAGTGGCAGCAGCTGTGAGGAGCAGGAACAGTAACGAATAAGGTATCAATTTGGTATTTCATTTGGTTTCGTTAAGATCCATTTTTTACGGTCGAATTCTACGTCGGTTTAAATGTTTTATGCAGTTTTAATGAACACTCTTGTTTTCATGCTGCGTGAAGGAAATCCAAACAAAACGAAACGACTGATAGAGTTTTTCTATCACGGATTGGTATTTACGCAGTACAAATGTATGATAGAACTGTAATCGTGCTGTGGATCGTCTCAGATATTGACTCACTGCTACCTAAATATGAAATATATTTTACCGATACTGCATGTTTTTCGTCTTCGTCTTCCATGACCCCTTTTCCTTTCGGCTCGTGGAGGCTGACTCGTCAGACAGTGCTTCCCACGTTCCCGATCCTGTGCCAGAGTCTGAGCTTTGTAGAATACAACTGGAGTCTGGAACAAACTCTTTCCATAAATTTGAACCAGGTTAATCTTGGCCGTCCTCTGGGCTTTCTGCCCGTCGATTGGGCAAGAAAGAGTTGCTTGGCCTTCCTTTCTGGAGGTATTCGCAACACGCCCAAACCATCGCAGCTGTGACTTCTCAATCTGGAGAAGTAAAGGCTGTATTCCAAGGCTCTTCCGGATGTCACTA